AGCCGCGAATCCAGGAGAACACCCAAGTTGCGGACCCGATCTGAGGGGGCCAAAGTTTCGCCCCCTATAGTCAGCGATGGAATCAGCTGACTATGCCGAGGCGCTGGTAGCCACAGCCACTCGGTCTTGGACGGGTTGAGTCTGAGTCTGTTCCTCCCCATCCAGACCCTCACGGCCTCCAGGCACCGGGCCATCACGTTTGATACATGTATTTATATTAAAATAAAGTAGCTACTGTATTTGCAATGATATCTGAAAATATAAAGCAATGCTATGCAAAGCTTAATCTGATAAAAAAATTAGGAAAGGTCATTATCATTATCGTTATCATTCAATACAGAATTTCAAATCATCATATTTCTAAAAATACTTATTGAGTATTTTTACAAATATCATGATTTGAAATTCTATATTGAATGAAAATGCTAATGATAATGACCTTTCCTAATTTTTTTATCATGTAAGTTTATTTCACTATTTTAAAAATTAAAAGAGGACACATACAGATCTGGAGAGTCTCTTGGGTACTTTTAAATTATTGTTATAACCAACACTTTAAAACTAATAATTTTAATCTGGACTCCAATTTTAGTGTTCTGACTTACAATATTGTTTTAAGGATTATTGAAGGAGTATCTATGAAAATACTCAGAAAATTGTAATGTAGATATATTATCATCATTATAATTATTTATTGATACTATACTGAAGAACAACCATGGAATATAAATAGTGATGTTACAAGTAACTATTTTTATTATTAAAATAAATATTTAAAAGTGAACTGGAATTTTTAAAAAATCATTGTTTGATGATTTGCAAATATTTAAGGAATGAAAGTTTATAAACTATGATTTTACCCATAATAGTTATATGATATGTAGTGATAATAAAATGCAATTAATCTGAATAGCCAGAAATTCAAAATACTATGTTCTAATTAACTTTTACACAATGGTATCACAAATACTGTAAGTACCTATTAATAATATATTACAAGTCTGATGAACAACTCTTCACCAATCATAAAATACGCCACTATTCAAGGGACACCATATTTCAGTTTCTAGACCTCTAGGGAGAATCCACTGAAGGTTTTCAAATCTATCACTTTGAAAGACATTTTAAAAATGAAAATACCGTACCCAATAGCTATTGTGATTCCTTGCCTTAATGAGTGCAACAAGTTGTATATAGACATTTCATTCCTATAAATACAAATTCAAATTTTATATTACTTGATAAACAGACCAATGTGTTGTTGATATGCAATTTAAGTTAATGGAAATTAAGTTTCCATTAACAAATAGGAAGAAAGAGAGAGTAATAGTCTTCCATAATTAAATGAGAAGTTCTTGTCTGTCTGTCTGTCTGTCTGTCTATGCAACAGTATAGTTATACAATGCTGCATATTTCTCTGTGATTAGTCTAAGGCACTTTTACTCTTAGGATAAAGCATCCTTGCAATTAGAGAATGCAAATACTATATAAGTTTGCAGTTTTATTCACTTACCTGTATGTCCAATTGAAAGCCACAGAAATTGCTTCTGGGCAAATTTAAACACTATGGGACTGTACATTTAATTACAAGAGAAAAATAGTTTCTTATCCTATTAAAACTATTGCTGATTTCTAAAATGGGTTATGAGTTTAATGTGCATCGACTGAAATAAACAACTAAAATGGGAATATCATAGTTTTATGTTTCAAATGAAGAGATTTAATTTTTCCAGGGTTTTTTTAGGATTTAAGAACATTGCCTGAAAAGCTACGTGTAATAGCTTTTGTGGTGGTATCACAATTAATCTCTCAGTTAATCTCTTAACTAAATTTCAGTATAAATTTCAGTATAAATTACATAATAAATTCACATACTGAAGTAGAAAAATCTAAATTCATGCAAAAATTACTTTAAAGTCCCATACCATCTTAAAACTAAGCACTGCCAGAAGACCAATTCAAAAGTGTTTCCTCATGAACCAGTACAATACACAGGCTATAGAATTTATTAATGTGGGTTAATGACTAGCTTTATAAAACAGCTAGTAAAATACAACATATGAGATATTACAATTTCAAGAACAATTGTAAGTATATATTAAAACAGACTGAGTGGCTTTTTTGATTAATGGTAGAAAGATGGTAGATCAGATGAAGTTTTATCAAATAAAGAGTCAAATTTAAACAAAAAAAATGTTGGGTGACTGAGGCTAACTTCTGGATAAAGAAGACAGGAAGTTTACATAAAGACAAACCCCACAAATATTTGTTCCAGAGCCAGTAAAATTAGATTAAAATGATAAAGACAAAGGACTAGGCCATTACTAAATGAAGCAACTTAATTACCTAGTCTGTATCTATTTTAAAGAATTAATCCTTTCCATTTTACCTTTGGTAATATAATTTACTTTTATTTGTGCAAGCATACAAAATATACATTATTTTCCCTCATACAGTATTGTATTAGCTCTGAGGGCATTCCATGGCTTTAAATTGTGAGAAAATTTGTTATTAATATTTACTAATCAACCCCTGTACAGAAAAAATATTGAATTTCTCAATTATTCTGTTATGAAAAATAAACCCAATAAACTTTCTTCCCATGCACTCAGATAATATTGAGGCTTGCAACAATTAAATCCACATGCTTGTTAAATATAAGTAATTGTATTTAGAATTATTTAATTCCTTTTTGTCTGATTATTAGGACTGTTCAGGTTACATTGTAATACTTCAAGTGACCTGGTTGGTAGATCAATTTGTCAGCCTATTTCCTGAAAACTAAAATTATCCTTTCTTGAGTGGGGTAGAATATACACCTACCTATTCACAGTACAGTTTTCCAATTCTCTATTCTTTTTCTTTGCATTCCTTACAATTCTACAAAATTCTGATCCTCAACCTAATTTTCAGCTTGATCTTCACAATGCAAAAATATGCTTATGTCATAGTTCAAAGAGATGGAAGAACAGGGTTGGAATATTTGACAAAAGATTCAAATGTGAGATGAATGAGGGGAAAGCACAGCTGCAAGATTCACTCCTACAGAGGAAAAGCCATGCAGTCTCCATCTCTTGACCTCCTCTTTCATTGAGGGGCAGGCTGACTGGGAAAGGGCAAAACAGATTCTTACCTTCACTGCAATCCTTCCCATGGAAACCAGTATGGGAGCAGTCACACACCGCCTGATTGTTGAGCACAGAGCATACACCACCATTGAGGCAAACATCTCTAGCACATAAGTGGCTCTGTTCATCATCCAGACGTACTTCTTGACTCTCCACAGGTGAAGACTGTGTATAATTGACTCTTACATCTGTTATCCATCCTTTGAAGGGTTCCCTATCCTTCACTGAGGAGAGTGTTACTTTTAGGGTAGGTGAACGCAACTCTGGAGGCAATCCTCCTAGAAAGAGACCACTAAAGACCGTCATGTCCCGCCGCTTAGATTTCACTTCTACCCATTTAGCCTCAGTCTGATCAATTAGTAGTGTTGTATTCTTAAAATTGCGGCGAATGATCACAGTGTGCCACAGGTTGTCATTGACAGCCATGTCAGAGAGTAAGATGGCAGGCTCAGCACAGAAGATGGAAAAACTTAGCTGGAGCCGCCCACCTTGTGTCAGAATTAACTCCAAGAAGTCGCAGAAGCCCTCATCATCAAAGTAAAGGACCAGGCCACTGGAACTGCGGGTTTTCATGTTAAAGCTCATCTCGCTCTCACAGCAGGCATTCCATTTGGGGAAGCGAGTCCATTGGCCCTCTGCTCCTGGGAACTCCAAGCCACTGCCAAGCTCAGCCCAACATCCCAGGAGCAGTGCCATCCAGAGTAGGAGGCAGCCTCCACGCCGAAGGAGCACCGCCCCCATTCTTGGTGGGGTGGGGTGGGGGAGAGGGGGAAGAGGAGGGGGGAGTGGTGGTGGGGGCGTTGAAGCAGACAGGGTAAAATCTTTCCAGTAACTACTCACAACAGATATTTAATTCTTGCTTTTCAGGTTCTGGCAGGAAATAATGTGGCTGCCTTCCCCAGTAGGAGAGTGTCAGGCTTTTTACACAAGATGCCAATTTGTTCTTTTTCAATAATAAAAATAATAATAATGGAAGAAAGGAAGGATAAAGCACCAACAAATGTGCAATTTTATTTGAACTGTAAAAAGTATTTTAAAAAAATAAAAGGCACTGATAAAAAGTTATTCAGTCATCTGCTTCTCAAAGTGAAGACTAAGTGAGTCAGCAAATATATTAATATTAAAAATCCATGTTGACAAGATGAAAAGAAGCTGGGGATGGATGGAAAATACACAAATGTAGGAAGGTCCATAAACTATAGAAGACCTTTTTAAAAGATCCACAAATCCAGCAAGATTTAATCAATATTCCAGCATATATGGAGAAGTCAGTATCCAAGTGTATGTAGAAGTCATCTTATCCAATAGTGGTAGTTCCCAGGAATTTTGTCACCTTCACTGCAAGCAATTTAGAGACTCCAATCCTGTCTTTCCAAAGTTGATTCTTTCATCAGACCATGGACTGCCTGCCATGTAATAAACCAGGAGAGTGTGTATTTCCCAATGGGGCTGAAATCCAGAAGCTGTCATGTAGCTTAGAAGCTACTTGCTATGCAGAGCCTCACAGCTGCTCCTATTTTGTTTTTCTTCTGCAAAGCCAAAACTGAAGAGATCCCGGTGCTTAATTGTTGGAAGATTTTGCACCATTTTTTTTAAAAAATATATATATTTACAAAAACCTGCAAAAATTTGAAAGACAACAAAATTACATTCACAATTGAATACTTCATGCCTGAAAAATAAAGAGCTGAAAGTAACAGCAAATATAAATACAACCTGAAGTAAATTGAATGTCCTCTGCTGCAATAGATACACATACAATATACTGTGCTTGAAAAGTTTCTGGTGACATAGCCTGCTCACACTATTTTGCATAAGTGTTTTATGCAAAAAAGAAATTGGAAATGCTTCATTAAACACAAAGTTATGATACAAAAAGATATCAAAAGATATTTACTACCATTTTAGTATCCTCAAAAAGATTCATGGCAAAAAGTATATCTTTGCCTGCTATATCCTATGTTTAGCAATTTTGCATGCAATAAACATATTTTTAATATTATATAAAGTGAATGAAATCACAGGAGGAGCAAGCTAGCAGTGAATTTCTTCAGTGGTATGGCTGTTTTTCCCCCTGAAATAAATATGATTATTGCTATAGCTCTTTGTATATTTTATTCTGCTTCCTTTAATTAATTTTTAAACTTGGAAAATTGATTCATTTTAATTGCTTATATAATAGAGGCCAAAATTTGATATCTTGCTATCTCTGCTATCATCTTCTGGCATAAAGAACTACATACAATCTTATAATCTCACATTAGATGTAATTTGTAACATGCTAGTTTCTCTGTAATGAAAGTTAAATCAGTTTCCATGTTTTAAAATATTATCCCACCCTTCCCTCTCAAATATTCCGAGCTACACCCATAATTTGTGGATAATGCATATTTACTGGTATTTGTTAAATCACATCATTATTTCTATACCAGTACTCCAATGCAGCTACAGTTGTCGTCTAAGAAAACTAATTGACTTGCAGCAGCAAATAAAAAAAAGCCTCAAGTAGTAGCAATACCAGAGCATAACCCTTCCTAGATTATGCCTAAGTATTAAATGACATATACTACTTTCATCTACCTCAAGTGCAAGCACCTCTTGCTATCCATAATTTGCATAGTTTTGCAACTAGAAGTATTTCAGCACTATCCCATTACAGCACAAAGGCTTGTTTACTTCCTGGTGCAAGCAGCATACTGTTATTGGTTGATTGGTTGATTGATTGATTGATTGATTGATTGATTGATTGATTGAATGAATTTATATTCCATCTGTCTCACTGTCCTGAGTGAGTCTGGGCAGCTTACAATGATTGTAGGTGCAGTTAATATTTTGAAAAACACTGGGAGAAGAAATGTTTAATAAATACAATCAATTAATGGAAATTTCTACATTAACTTTTAACTTCAAAACAGAATTTGCATGTCAACATTGTGGCTCATCAGAAATCTCCCAAAAACTGAATGTAGGACTTCTTGTTATAGCTTTGATGCTATTTGGCAAGAGCTAAGTAAATCATGAGGGGAAAATATATCATTTTGGAATTGATAAAACTTTGTATTTGGGGGGACATAAAAGATAATTCTTTGGCTTCAATTCAAAATATTGCAAGGATAAAAATTAAAGAGAGAAATCAGGGTTTGGGATACCTCTTACCAAGTATTTCTTTAATTTTATAACTATACAAAATCATGCATGTATATAATATAGTCATAAACAACCATGTTAGTCAAATACTCAAAGAGATGGTAGAAATATATTTAAAATAATATTTCCACCTTATGATGCAAATATCAACTATATTTAGAAACTAACTCTCAAAGTTAATATTATCCAATGTTTTAAAGAAAAAAAATGTCTTACAAGAACTTGTTCTCTGATCAAGGATCATTTTCTTAGCTCCATTTCCTATTGTTTAATATTCTGCAGTGTTGGTTCTATTTCTTTATATTGTATTCACCATTTCCCATCTATTAAAAATGGCAAGTTTTCTTTTGGTTTTAAAAAAATATGAACAGACAATCTATCAGTTCAAAAGTAGACTTCAATATAGGGAATGAAAGAATTTTTTAAAAAAAATAGATCATGTATTTGTCAGCATGTGCTGGAAAGGCAGCTTGTAAACTTTTAATTTCAGAATTTGGAGCAAGGTGAGCAATCTGAACTTTTTACCATTAAATTCTTAAGACCATCTGATAACACAACGTTAATAAGGGGGGGGGGGAATGATACATTTGGTGCTGGTGAATATGTCTGTGTGCATGAGAGTGAAACAAGGAATTAGTAAGGAAGAATGGAAATAAATTTGAGTAAAATAGGTAAAATATGCAAAGGAAAAGGCAAGTCTGAATTACTGTATAGAGCCACCTATACAGGCTGCAGAATTTATTTCCATGCAGAATAGCCACACACAATGTATGAAGAGAGAGGAAGAAATGATTCATAAGGGATTATTCTATGAAAGGGCCAGATATTTTCCTTTGAGACTGTTGTGGTCTTCACTGTAATAAGCCTCTCTCTCTCAGCCTGGACTGATCAGCAAGATAGCGGCCAATGTGAGCAGCCACGGAAAGCAGCAGCAAGCAGCAAAAAAAAGAAAAAAAGAAAGAAAGAAAAGCCTCATTTCACCTCCTGAGGGGCAGCCAACCCTGCTGAGGCTTCCCTTTCCCGCTTAGAGAAGCGCTGCCGACTTGGCGCCAGGACCACCGCGGCCCTTTCGGTCAAGGCTGTTCATTAGGGACAAGGGTGGGGACGCGCGGGGGGGGCCGAGAAATTGATGACACCGCATCCAGCCCTCGCTCGCTCCCTTGCCCCCGGTCCCCGCCGTCAGGCTTCCTCCCGCGCCCACTGGCAGCTGTCGGGCTCCTCCTCTGGTGAGGCAGCGCGCGCGCGGAAAGCTAGACGCCCCGTGCTTTTCAAAGCTAGCCGCTGCCGTTGCTGCGGCTGCTTTCGCTAGAGATTGGCCAGGGGGGGAAGGAGGGAACGCTCGGGCTACGTCCGTCTGTTTCCACCCCCACCCCCGTTTCCAGGTTGTTGTGCTGAAGCTCGGGGGAATGGGGGAGGGAGCAAGAGGAAGGGGGTGTGTGTGAATGTGCTGGAGAACTAGCGCCGGAGTGTGTGACGGAAAGTATTACAGGACGGCGGTGTTAACGAATGTGTGGGAGAGTTGTGCAAAAAAAAACCAAAAAAAAAAACCCACAACCCGGGAGAATTCATTATCTACAAGCGGGCGAGAAAGGAAGGGGTGGAGTGGGATTGAAGCATTACAGAAACATAAATATTCGGAGAAGAACGCGCTGTGGCTCCCAAGCACGACGCGCGCTCTCCAGCTGGCAAGAGCTCTCCAAGGTCTCAAACAGTGCTCGCTCTCCGTTTCCCCAGCCTTGCTTCCTAAAATCTCTCTCTCGTCCAACTAGCGAGAGCTCTCCAAGGTTTCAGGCAGCGCTCTCCGTTTTCCCAGCCTTGCTGACTAAAATCCCGGATAACGCGCGGAATTGAAGGTGCTAAGAAGACCTTCGCACGCAAAAACTGCCCTTCGCTGCTAAACAGCGGCCTCTTCCCCAGAATGAGGGTGTGCGCCATGCAGATGGCCAAGCAAGAATTGAACTTGGGATTTTCCACCACTGCAAAACTCAGTAGTGAACCACAGAGTCCCCACCACCAAAAAAGGTCCCAACAGAATATATGTTGCTTTGTCTTTATGAAGCCGGATCCATTTGGCCGTCTAGCCGTCTAGTGTCTCATATGACAAGCAGCGGAGAGCTTTTTCCGGTTTTGCAGTCAGAGATCGTTTTAACTGGAGGTGTCCAGAATTAAAGCAAAATAATAATTCTGTGTTTTTCCATGAAAAAAAAATGTTTAAAGAGAGGAGGGGAATTAATGAGTGAAAAAACAACACACAAGACAAATTGATTATTATATGTGAGAACTCAGGAAAGGATTATATGGATAAAATAGATTTTCTGAAGAATATTAGACAAAGGAGATTAATATATGCATATGTGATATACATAGAAGTGTATGTGGAGGTAAAAGGTGAAAGTTAACTTTGTATGAAAGAAAAGCTTAATTTGTGTGCAAATGTATGTGCAAGAAGATTAGACAAAGCAGCTAGAATATGTTTTGCATGAATGCATTCGTATGACAGTGTAAGTAATGGAAAAGGAATATCCTTTTGTTGGGGGAAAAAATCAGTAACTTGTGCAGAATAGACAGCTATTAGCAAAGAAGGAAAATTTATC